TTAAACAAGTAGAATGAAAAACCATCAAATTTATTTGATGCAAAAGAAGGATACTCGTTCTTTACCACCTGTTCTCTCATGCATGGTGTAATTTAGATCTTTGAGTACCCACCGATTGAAAAATATGAAATGGTAACGAATCAAACGACCGCGGGTCAAGGTGTTCACAGTTCCGTCAATAGATGGCGCTGCTCGCGCATGCGCATAACCCATTTTATGGACTTGTGTTCGTGAATGTTTGTTAATATAGCATTAGTCTAAATTTCACTGAGTAGTTATTCATAGAAAATACCCAGAAACTGTTTATCACATGTCAAAATAGCCACCTGCAAAGTATTACGTGATTTGATGGTATATTATAGGTATTATGTCGATTCTTGGCCGGCCGAAAGGGGCTGAAAAGTGCCCCCGCGGCGAACGGCCGAACGTCTCTCCTCGTATTTTAGAACCGTTATTTCTCAAAATTTTGCTTAGAAACTCAAAAAAAAACTCTATTATTGGTTCATTAAGACGCAAAATGCAACATTTTGGTTATACCCGTATAGCTGTATGTGTTACCATTTCTTCGCTGAAAGTGGGGTCTAAATTACACCGAGCCCGAGCACAATACTCGTTCTCTACCTCCGAGAAGAAGTGTCGGGAGGTAAAGAACGAGTAAAAACTGGTTGTAAAGTATATGTCTGTTGCAAATCTAGTGTTTTCAGTGAATACTCATGTAAGGATTGAACAATGGTCAAGGATAAAAACAATCAATTGTTTACACTGGGCTAGCCAAACTCAGAGTGACCGAGTGGCAAGAAAGTTTATTGATTATGCACAGGATAACGCTGGTGTTGCAGACAAGTGAATATAGAAGTCAGTCTATTGGTTGGTGAATGTACATGGTGAAGATATTTGAATATATACATAGATAGAGATAAAAGCATTAATTATTTACAACATCTTCCCTTATAATGCGGAATCTCAAATACAATTAACAATTTAACAGCTGAACTTCACACCAAAAATTACAAACAACTCTCAACCACGCAATTTTAAAAAGAAAAATAAGACACAGCAAATACCCTCTCCATTTGGCTAGGAAACAGGGAAAACCCAGTGGGTACAAAAAC